CACCATGTTGGCCAGGCTGGTCTTGAACTCCTGACCTCAGGTGATCCACCCGCCTCAGCCTCCCAAAGTGCTGGGATTACAGGCGTGAGCCACCGCGCCCAGCCAAGATCCATGTTCTTTATACCTCTCCTATGATCCCCAAAGAGCTCAGAATGGTGCTCTGCAGTTAAGAGTGTCGAGAGACACAGAAAGACCCCCCACTCACCCTCCTCCAGCCTACTAGGTCTTGCTGGGCCCCAACCCCCAGCCTCCCTAGAAAACCTCATTTGTATTCCACCGTAGCCTCTCCGGAGGCAGCAGCGGGCAGCGAGGAAGACACTCCAGCAGCTTCTTGGGGAGAAAGATCTTCAGGTGGTGGCTGTTTTCTAAAGGAGATTAGAAGGGAGGGTTTAGTGTGCTACCCCGGGGCATCCCTGTCCAAGGGGAAAGGGCTGAAGGCAATGCAGAGCACTGGGGAGAACTGAAACCTCACTAAGGAGAACAAGGAATCCAAGAATTAGAGGGCTACTAAGGCATGGGGAGAACGAAAGGCTGTGGCCACATTGGGAACCTGCTTTGTGAACTTACCAGCAACCTCGGTGGTGTCCTTGGTATTCATGGTGAGGGTTCCGGGGGGCAAGGTCACCCCCGGCCTGAGGGGCCGGGGGGAGGGGGAGTCTGTGCTGGGAAGGGAGAGAACAAGGTCATGGCAGAAGCCCCCACATTAATCCAGGATGAGAAGTATGAGGTGGGGAGTGAGTATAGAACTGGGTCATAGTATCTGGGAAGGATGAGGAAAGGGAGGGAGGGGCTGACTGTGATGTGACAGTAGAAGGGAGAACCAGACACGGTGCCCGGAGTCAATATGAGTGAGGAGACTGGACAGAAAGAGTGAGCAGGAAGAAATGGGTTGGGGTGGGGGAGGGGAGAAGACAGGCAGGTCTGGGGCCTCAGAGGCCCTAAAGCTTGAGCTTTTGCACAGACTGGGGCTATGGCTGGGTCGGGTCCTGGGGGTTGGGACTCAGGCCATCCGGTCCTTGGAGGATGGTTTGGCGAGACAGCCAGGATCCTGGGGGCAGGGCAGGAGATTCTACCTCCGGTAGAGAGCTAGGCCTTTAGAAGACACGCCCTGAGTTCCTTCTCTATTTGATTTTTCCAAGGGGGAAGGGCAGATCTGATAACTGAGCCTAACCTATTCTCTCCTCCAGGTTGGTTAGGACCTGATAGAATCTGGGCCAGACACCCAGATTCCCACCCTCAGGACTACCCGCCCTCCAGCTGACAGCCCTCTCTACCTCCCTCTCCCCAAACGCCTCTGCCTCCCCTGGCCTCCAGGCCTAGCCTACCCCATCTACCGCTCTGGCTCCAGCCTGAGCCCCCCGCCCTTCTGGGGGAACAGATGGGAGCTGGAGGAGGCTCTCAGCACGGGCTCCGCCAGGTGTCCAGGATGGAGATGGGAGGAGGCCCGTCGGGCTCGACTGTGTGCAGTGAAGCTGGGGTTGGGGTAAGGACTCCGCCCCAGGGCGCAGGTGCGCAGTCCCGGCTAAGGCAGTCTGCCAGGGTGCGGAGCGGGAGCGGGTCCTTGGGCCGCACTTGGGCGGCGCCGGATCGGACACTTGGCACTCTGGGCGGCCCCTCGGCGGAGTGGTGGTCCCAGGAGAACCTTCGAGGTGGGAGGGTCCCGCCCGCATAGAGGGATGTTCTGGAGAAGCCGGGAGCAGAGTCCGCGGGCACGCGGTGGGCGAGGGACAGTGCGGGTGCCGGGTGCGGGGGTCTCCGGGACAGTCCCCGGCACGCGCTGGTCTGCCGTGGGGCCCTGCGATGAGCGGCGCCCCCTGGCGCGGGGGAGGAGGACGGAAGCGGGAGGTGAGGACGAACGGGGAGGAGGGACGGTGGTCCCCGGCGCGGCGCTCCGCGTCAGGGCCTGGAGGAGCTGCGCCCCCTGGCGCGGGGGCGGAGAGGCGGGCGAGAGGCCCTGGCTCTTACCTCCCGGGGTCCCGCGGGTGACGGCGGCAGCGGCCATTCTACCCCACACCGACCCCCCCCCCAGCGCCGGCTGACAGCGGCGTCCGACGTCACTGCGCACGGGGCGGGGCTTCCCAATTAAGGGGATGGGGGTCAGGAAGGGAACCTGGGGTCAGCACACGTGGGGTTCTGGGTGGGGCGCTGGGCAGAGGGACTCGGCTTCTGAAGCTCTGAGCCAGGCCGAGGGACATACTACTGGGAAGTCCCCAAAAAGGCAGCAGCGCTGAGGGGCAGGATTCCAGGGTCCTGGAGGCGGAAGCTCGGCCGACGGACTCCCAGTCCGAGAGAACGGGGCAGGGGCGGCCGACCGGTGCTGGAACCCGAGGGGCCGGGAGAGGAACACAGGACTGGGAGCAGGACCCTTCTCGCCTCGGACAAGACTCCTTGAATTTGGGGACCCAGCCCGACTTCATTGTAGCTGAGTCCTCGAGAAAGCGAAAGGAGCCCTCCTTCCCCATTGGCCTCTCCATCGCTGCATCCCAAGAAGAAAGACAACTCGGGCTCCACTTGCTTGCTTTTTAATAACAGAGCAGAGAGAACACAAGGCCAGGGGCGGGGCCTGGAGGAAAACAGGACTTGGGGTGCTCCTGTGAGAGCGGTGGGTTGATTTGGGAGCCCAGGGGGGCTGTTAATGCCTAGTTCAGAGGATGGGAAAGGCAGTTGGAGAGGCTAAGGAAGGGGAAACGCCTTCATGTCAGCAATGGGGGTGACTCTAGTGACGGAACTAGTCTTGGGTCCCTGGGGCACCACCAGTATCTCGGCATCGGTGGTTTCTCTTTACTCTTCAGACGCTGCCAACTGCATCCCCCAGGGATTGTGAAGGGGGTTCCTCCTGGCTGTGACAGTGCTGAAGGAGGCCAGAGTGTGCAGCTGCCTGGAGGCACAAGCCGCCTCCTGACCCAGGGGACTCCAGGGAGACCAAAGCAGCTGTAAAGATGAGAGAAATTGAAAAAGAGAATGGAAAAGTAGGTCTTTTTTTCCAGATTTCCTAGTACCCAAGCTTAGGTACCTCAAAGTCTCTGGCTCTCAGCTACCTTATTTTTGTTCCTCTCAAATCCAGTTCTCCAACCTGGCTCTCAGCTTCTACTGCATCTCCACGCAAGACCAGAAACCCACGTCACTCCCTCTCCACCCAGTTCCACTCCAACAATACCTGGGCCCTGCCAGGAGTCAGAAAACTGTTCTCTTCCTGTGGATAGGTTGCCCTCTCCTCTTCCAGATCAGGGTATTCATTGGTGCTGGGAAATCCACAGCCCTCTTCGCCAAGCACCACTGGCTCAGATGCAGCCCCAGAGCTGCCCCACTGGGCCTTCTTTAGTCTGTGGAGACTTTAGGCTGAGGAGAGAAGTACCTGGAGGCCAGGCTTCCTGTCTCTCCATTCTTCACCTTTCTGTTCTGAAATACTTCCTGCTGGGACTCCAGGGAGTTGTCATTTGACCTCTAACTCTCCACTCCCAATTTTCTGCTCCCCTCAGACTGAAGCATATTGTCTAGGAACCCAGAGGCGACCCCAGCCTCCCCACTGTCCTCCAGTTCTATGGTTTGCTTTCCTGTCTTCAGTGATCCAGTTTCTACTCCTTCCAGCTCAAGTGGCTCATCCTCCTTACCGCAATTCCCTCCTCCTTTTCATATTACAGAAATCTGTTTCAATCACACCAAAGCCCACAGCTTCCTCCCAAGCAGTCTCCCCTCAAAGCTCCCCTCAAACCTCCCCTCAAAGCTCTCAACCCCTTCCTTAGCTCAAACTGTTCCGTCCCCAAATCCTGCATGACTGCCAGAACCTAGATGTCTCCCTTCCTTACTCATTGATGATGCTCTGACGCCTTCTTAGGTCCTCCAGGTGGTAAGTGACAGCTCTCACCCGGGCGGGGACACCCCCAAGCCCCTGCTGCTGCATTCTTTCCAAACATGGCCTCCTCTTCTTTCTTCTCCAAAGCATTTCAGGGGGTGGGAGCTGCTCAGGAGGATACAGACCAAGCTGGGAGCAACCAGTGGCTCTCTGTGCCAGAGAATGGGGAAAAAGAGCTAGAAAAAAGAACTGGCTTTCTCAAGGGAGCTTGGATTGAACTAGGTAGGGAGTCCGGGGTCTTAGGAAGACCCCTGTGATATCTCAAAAACATGATGACTGATTCATAGAAAGGAAGTGCACTGGTTGGGGAATACCATAGGGAAGCGGTGATGAGGAGAGCTTGGGACAGGATAGCAGTGGGTGCAATTTTAACAGAGAACTGTTGAAGGCAGAGGGTCTGTCTTACCAGCATGGGTGGAATGTGCTGCTCCTCCAGCCAAGTGAGGCTGTGAAGAACAAAAAGGGGGCTATAAGTGCAGAGGGGACACGTCCATCCATATTGCTTCTTTGATAATCTCTCCCAACCTCCTTTCTGTCATTAGGAGCTACAATGTCCACCAGCCAGTGGGAAATTAACCCCAGACTAGGGCCTATTGCTATATGGGTTTATGGTAGTTTAATCCAGTTAAGACCACATCCAGCTGGTATCCATTTTCTCCTCTACTCACCTGGGCCTTTGACTGAGGTTCTTCCAGAAGACATCTCCATAACGCTGGGGCATGAGTCTGAGGCTCTGGGAAGGCAACCTTGGTGGTGGAGATCGGCTGACCACCCTGGAACACCTGAGGGGAGGACAAGGTAGGCTCAGGTCTGGCTCTTCCCTTACAGCAATCTACTCACCCGAAGTGAGTGATCCCATCTTTCCATGGGACTATAAAGCTGCCCAGGTTCCCTCAGGCCGTGTCCTCTCTTAACCACTTTAGCTGAAGAAGGTGATAAGGCCTCTGCCTTGAAAGGAAATTGAAGCTGGGTTGAGGGTGGAGATTGGCTGTAGTTTGACCCTCAGATCTCACTGAGTCTAAGCTCTATACCAGGGATATCCAATCTTTTGGCTTCCTAGGCCACAATGGAAGAAGAAAAATTGTCTTGGGCCACACATAAAGTACACGAACACTGGCCGGGCGTGATGACTCACGCCTGTAATCCCAACACTTTGGCAGGCCAGTGTAAGTGGATCACTTGAGGTCTGAAGTCCAAGATCAGCCTGGCCAACATGTTGAAGCCCCGTCTCTACTAAAATTACAAAAAATTAGCCAGGCGTGGTGGCAGGCACCTGTAATCTCAGCTACTTGGGAGGCTGAGGCAGGAGAATCCTGCCAGAGGGTGGAGGTTGCAGTAAGCCAAGATCGCGCCATAGTACTCCAGCCTGGGCCAGAAGGGAGAAACTCTGTCTCAAAAAAGAAAAAAAGGCCAGGCGCGGTGGCTCACGCCTGTAATCCCAGCACTTTGGGAGGCCGAGGCGGGCGGATCACAAGGTCAGGAGATAGAGACCATGGTGAAACCCCGTCTCTATTAAAAATACAAAAAATTAGCTGGGCGCGGTGGCAGGTGCCTGTAGTCCCAGCTACTCAGGAGGCTGAGGCAGGAGAATGGTGGGAACCCGGGAGGCGGAGCTTGCAGTGAGCCAAGATGGCGCCACTGCACTCCAGCCTGAGGGACGGAGCGAGACTCCGTCTCACAAAGAAAAAAAAAATTCACAAAAAATTTCATAATTTTATTTATTTATTTATTTATTTATTTATTTATTTATTTATTTGAGATGGCGTTTCGCTTTTGTCGCCCAGGCTGGAGTGCAATAGCACGATCTTGGCTCACGGCAACCTCCGCCTCCCAGGTTCAAGCGATTCTCGTGCCTCAGCCTCCCGAGTAGCTGGGATTACAGGCGAGCACCACCGTGCCTGGCTAATTTTTGTATTTCTAGTAGAGATGGGGTTTTGCCATGTTGGCCAGGCTGGTCTTGAACTCCTGATCTCAGGTGATCCGCCCGCCTCGGCCTCCCAAAGTGCTGGGATTCAGCCACCACAGGAGTGAGCCACCACACCGGGCCCTGTGATACAGGAGTCAGCCACCACACCTGGCCCTGTGTTTTATGTTTTAAATAGTACCCATCATTAGCTGAAATTTTATTTGTTTACACATTCTAGAATGTGTTCCCCTCTCTAGAATGTAAGCTCTACAAGAGCAGGACCTCTATCCTGCTAATTGCTGAATCTCCAGTGCCTAATACAGTCCCTGGAACACTGTAGTGTTCAAACTATTTGTTGAATAAATTAATGAATCATCAATCCCCTGAGACCAGGCATTGCATTTCCTGTTCTTTATTTCCTAATCCTCTTAGGGAAGGACCCAGGCATGCAATATTCCCTCCATCCCCTCCCCATGCTCCCCACCCAGTGGGAGGACTCACTTGGCAAAGGGGATGATGTTGCCTCCATCATCCTGCACCTGCATGACTGGACTGGGCTGGGTAGCTAGTTTCCTTTTTGGTGCTGGGAGGATAATGGAAAAGAAGTCATTCATTCCAGCTGGGCATGGTGGCTCACACCTGTAATCCCAGCACTTTGGGAGGCCAAGGCAGGCGGATCATGAGGTCAGGAGTTCGAGACCAGCCCGGCCAATATGGTGAAACCCCATCTCTACTAAAAATACAAAAATTAGTAGGGCGTGGTGGTGTGCGCCTGTAATCCCAGCTACCCACAAGGCTGAGGCAGAAGAATCGCTTGAACCTGGGAGGCGGAGGTTGCAGTGAGCTGAGATCATGCCACTGCACTCTAGCCTGGGGGACAGAGCAAGACTCCGTCTCAAAAAAAAAAAAAAGACATTCATTCATATAATGTCTGTAGGGATGAAACCAGTAGCAGATCTAGAGACTGGAAAAAGAACATATGGATGCTGAAAAAAAGAGAGAGCTTAAAAGGTATTTGTAGCGGCTGGGCACGGTGGCTTACGCCTGTAATCCCAGCCCTTTGGGAGGCCAAGGTAGGCGGATCACCTGAGGTCGGGAGTTCAAGACCAGTCTGACCAACATGGAGAAACCCTATCTCTACTAAAAATACAAAATTAGCTGGGCATGGTGGCACATGCCTCTAATCCCAGCTACTCGGGAGGCTGAGGCAGAAGAATCGTTTGAACCAGGGAGTAGGAAGCTGCAGTGAGCTGAAATTGCACCAGTGCACTCCAGTCTGGCAACAGAGCAAGATTCTGTCTCAAAAAAAAAAAGAAAAAAGAAAAGAAAAAGGTATTTGTAGTGCTGGACTATTAATTGAACATTAGGTTGAAGACAGTGAGCACAGGAAAAGTGGATATGGTAAAAAGATAAAGGAGAAAGCAAATCTTCTGAAGCTAAATGTGCAAAATAAGTCAAATTTACAGATGGCAGTTAAGTGACAACTGGCAATATGGAACAATGAAATTGAAAAATAATGACAGTGGATATTGGATGGGGCGGAGGCATTTGGGGGTAAGAGAAGTGACAGAATTGAGGGTTCTTAATGAATCAACTATGATTGGTTAGTGAAAGTTAAGTGTGTGGACTGGGCGCTGTGGCTCACACCTCTAATCCCAGCACTTTGAGGGGCCGGGGCGTGAGAATTGCCTGACCTCAGGAGTTGGAGACCAGCCTGGGCAACACAGAGAGACATCATCTCTATTTTAAAAAAAAGTTGGCCGGGTGTGGTGGCTCATGCCTGTAATCCCAGCACTCTGGGAGGCCAAGGCGGGTGGATCACCTGAGGTTGGGAGTTCGAGACCAGTCTGACCAACATGGAGAAACCCTCTCTCTACTAAAAAATACAAAAATTAGGCCGGGCGCGGTGGCTCAAGCCTGTAATCCCAGCACTTT